AGTAGGTCGTAAGATCTTCATTTAACCTTTTTTAAAGACTTGGCTTAATGACCCAAAGCAGTGCAGTACCTTCGGAGCACGGCACTGCTTTATCTTGAGCTGAGTTATATGAGCAGTTGAGCCAAGACTGTTCTATCTTTACTGGCAGCCGAGAATGAACATTCTTTAGCAGACAGTTTTGATCGGTTAACTTATTTTGTCTAAATGTATATGAGCTCTCAATGTTGTTATCAATAAGCTTTTCCTTTATACCTGTTCATAATCACTGATTTAAATTTCCATTCAGGATCGACCGTGAACGCCAACGCCTTCAACATGAGGTGATCGAACTGACCGCCACCATCGACCAGGTGCAAAAGGACAAGGTGCGTTTTGAAGTTCTCCGTGCTCATTTTTTCTCATCCCCATGTTCTTCTTTTCTTCCTCAGAAGGCTTTCTGATTTCCACGTTTCTGGATTTCCCATCTCATTTCCTCTTCTCCTAACATTTCTTTGCTGTTATTGGCTGATATTGCCCAACTAGGGGGTATAAGGACAACATGGACTCAGACTGAAGTTATTGAGCCCAAAGGACTACAAATCAGACGGATAGCTACCACAGACAGATGACTTAATGATGTCGGAGTTGTTTGTTTAGCAGAAAGTTTGGCGAAAAATAGAAGCAGTACAGAGTTTTCTATGGAGCGTCTATGGGAACAAATTTTCGCAAGCAGTATCTAATGATAGCGTACCTCTTCTATGTAATCAAATTTCGTTCTGTTTTGAAATAACAGTAAACACCTACAGACTCGGCACCACACATCTCCAATCACAAAGGACTGGGCTCACAATCTCATTCTCCCTAAAAACGTCCCAGTGCATAAATTACGCTGCGGCTAGTACGGTAGTTTCGAAAGCACAACTTTCAAAGCAGTTTCTCAAAACATAGACATTGTCACCTCCCACAGCTAACGAGAAAGAAAACCAGAAAATTTGATTTGCGCCCCGAATCGGCATTGTTAAATTACATCAAAATAAGGAAAACATGGCAAACAAGAAGATAAAACAGCAATTTTGTTCAACAGAATTATCGATTATTGATCGGAAGAAAAGTCGAACGCGCTATGTTAATTCAACGTTTCTTTTTCCCGACACTTCAAGAATACAAACAATGTGGCATCGAGCGATGGATTGTAGCGCTTAGTTCAAGCAACATACGTTTCTTTGAGCATGCCTAGTTATTTGTAATCTATGGATCGCTGACGATTGATGATCAATGCTTTTAAAATGGACAAACCTTTATAAAATAAGATCTTTGAGTAAACACTATCCGGAGTATAAACAAATACGATGTAATCATCAGGTTCAAGTATTGAAGGCGCAGTTTTGAGTAAAGCGAAACATAAGTGAAAGAGGCTTTAAGCATTGGTAGAGTATATAAGTAATGGAAATTTGTAAGTGAGAAGCGGAATATTTCTTTAGTTGGAAACGATTAAAACAATTGTTCATGCAAAACGTTTCTGTTATGCTATACATTCTGCAATCTTTGACTGACTGGTGGAACAAGTATCAAACACTAAATAAGTAGCTCACTGTTTTCCTAGAAGCTGTATGGAAGTGAGAGCAATTTCTCGAATTATGCACCGATAGCGTTTTGAATGTGAATATTTTTACCTGAGTAAGTTTCATTTTCTTTAATAATGTTTTGCACTATTCAATTGGAGCTTGTTTTTGGAGAAGCGTCCCAAAACTAATCTTTCCAAAAACTTGTTCTAATAAAATTACAAGGGAAAAACTGATAAACATTATGTTGTTAGGTCAAAGAACGGCGCCGTGTTATAATATCTAAACAATTTGTTCTTTTGCTCGTTTCTAAATCAATGAAACTTCCCTAACAGCAAACAGGTGTTGCCAGTGCAACTGCTCACTTAATGACATCCTACGGGCTATTAGCTGCTAACGATAAACTCAGCGAAAGTGACTCCTGCAATGCATACGTTGCTCAGAAACAGATCTGAAGCTTTAATGCATGGAATTGGAAAGAAACACTTTTTGATCTCAGCGCACGAGGAACTAGGTACTCAAGACCGTGCGTCAATCTCTTAGGCTATGCTCGCCTGTACGTGGCAATTTTCACAAGGCTGTCACAAGTAACTCTTACGCAGATCCGGGAACTGTAGCACTTTTGCGAAGTAGTCTGTAAATAAAACACCAACGGGTGGAGGACTATTTACCGCTGTTATGCTCGAACAACTGTTCCCCATTTCCAAGTTTTGAACATAGCATAACACATAACATGAAAAGTCAACTCCTCCTAACGAAAGGGTATGGTGTTTCTATTAGCCTACGCTAAACTTTCTCTTCTAAACTCACGATTGACAATCGTGAACTTCATCAGTATTCTGCATGGGCGGGGCCAATTGG